TTCTCAAGTTTTATTTTTACGACTTACAAATATGGCTTGGCAATACAACACAAGGCTTCCTTTTCAGGGATTTGGAGAACTCATGCTTGATATTTTACATTGTGGAGAACTTAGTCTAGAAAGGGCTTCCACTTATTTGAGTACAGGTAGAAGACTGGCTCTGCTTTCTTCCTGTAATAATACTGGTTTCTATAGGTAAAATGATAGTATAATTTTGTGGCATTTTGATTAGCAGTTTTCCATTTAAAAATAGACAAAAGGCAACTTCCTACTTGAAATTTTGGAGGTAGTATGTTACCAAAACAATTGGTAGTTTTTGTAAAGGTATACCTGTGTCTAGACATAAGTTCCAGGTTTAAAAATCATAGATTTGAATACAGTCTAGGAAAATATGCAATATATATATGCAGAGGATTGGTAAATTCTAATAGCCAAATGCAATGTCAATAGTGTTATTAAAAATAACAAATCGTTCTACTATAGGGACACGTGCACACGAATGTTCATTGCAGCACTGTTTACAATAGCAAAGACCTGGAACCAACCCAAATGCCCATCGACGATACACTGGATAGGGAAAATGTGGCACATATACACCATGGAATATTATGCAGCCATCAAAAACGATGAGTTTGGGTCCTTTGTAGGGACATGGATGAACCTGGAAACCATCATTCTCAGCAAACTGACAGAAGAGCAGAAGATCAAACATCGCATGTTCTCACTCATAGGCGGGTGTTGAACAATGAGAACACATGGACACAGGGAGGGGAGCACTACACACTGGGGTCAGTTGGAGGGAAATAGTGGAGGGAAGGTGGGGGGTGGGGAGCTGGGGAGAGATAGCAAGGGGAGAAATGCCAGATGTAGGTGATGGGGAGGAAGGCAGCAAATCACACTGCCACATGTGTACCTATGCAACAATTTTGCATGTTCTTCACATGTACCCCAAAACCTAAAATGCAATAAAATAAATAAATGGGTAAATAAATAAATAAATAAACTATTGGTCATTATTGCAAAACTGCCAATTGAGAATATTGATATAAATGCTAACTTTATTTGTTCTTTCACCAATTTATTTTTAAATGATCTTGGTTATATTTAGATACATCTGGAATAAATTCAGGCATTATATAGGGCTTTGAATTTTAATAAAAGGGTACATTAAACCCTGCCTTTAATAAAACTACCATCTGGTCGAGTAGAGAGAGACATTTGTCAGTTGAAGTTCTTTTTTTTTTTTTTTTTTTTTTTTTTGAGACGGAGTCTTGCTCTGTTGCCCAGCCTAGAATGCAGTGGGGCAACCTCGGCTCACTGCAACTTCCGCCTCCAGGGTCCTGGCTCAAGCAATTCTCCTGCCTCAGCCTCCTGAGTAGCTAGGATTACAAGCACATGCAACCATGCCCAGCTATTTTTGTATTTTTAATAGAGATGGGGTTTCACAATGTTGGCCAGGCTGGTCTTGAACTCCTGACCTCATGATCAGCCCACCTTGGCCTCCCAAAGTGCTGGGATTACAGGCCAGTTGAAGTTCTTCAGTGAGCTTGGAGGGAATGTCACAGTGTGTTCTGTTTGGAAATAAGTTATACCCTGTCTGCCACTGTGGAAGGTGAAGGGGTAGATACCAGCTGCTGCCTGCCAGATGCATTTAAGAGACACTGATTTTCGAACAAGTGAGTGAATAAAAATGGAGGCTCAGTACTCATCCAAGTGTGGGGTAGTGATGCTGCTCAGGTTCACTGCAGCATGTTCCAGGGAGGATATTGAAGCCCCAATTGTTAGTTGTGCTTCCTGCCTAATGTCCCACTGGAGTTGCCACATGTTGTATTTTGCAAGCCTACTCCATCAGTGTCCTGGGAATTTTATGAGCCATTCCTATCATTCAAATACTTTTTTTTTTTTTTTTTTGAGATGAAGTCTCACTCTGTCACCCAGGCTGGAGTGCATAACACGATCTTGGCTCACTGCAACCTCCACCTCCCAGGTTCAAGCAATTCTCCTCCCTCAGTCTCTAGAGTAGCTGGGACTACAGGTACATGCCAGCATGCCCAGCTAATTTTTGTATTTTTAGTAGAGATGGGGTTTCACCATATTGACCAGGCTGGTTTCGAACACCTGACCTCGTATTTTTTTTTTTTTCTTTTCTTAAAAGAGTCTGTTTTGATGCTTAACAACCAATACCCCCAACCTTTACAGACACAAAAACAAACATACTAGACTTCTTATTATTCCTTGTTATGGGCACATGTTTAACAAACATTTACAATATGGAAACACATGTCTTTTTGTTCTGGAAAATTTTTTAGAGTGGATTCTATGTTTCATATATTCCTCTCCCTTCTTTTCCTGGAGGCATGGAGATACCAGGCTGGTGGCTACGCTAAAAGAACCTCTCCTTATATCCCCAAGTCAAGCTGCAATGGAGTCTTTCCTAGGAAGTTGAAATTGCCAGAATTCCTGTTGCATCACAAGAGTTTCAGATCAATTCATGGTAAATACAGAAAGAGTAAGCCCCCAAAATGATAATCATTAGCTCTAGGTGGAAAAAAGCAAGTTATGTACGAGGGAAAGCCAAATCATTTATACCATGTGGTAAGAGTGCTGGCAAGGTCATAGAAATAAATGTCAAATATTGATATAATCACATTTTAATGCAAATATTTTTGAAAAGAGACATGAAAGAAGTATGTGGCGAGTTTGGAGAGAGAAAGACATCTAAATTAATAACGAATGTTTAAATAGAAAAAATGTATTAGTGTCACAAGTATGCTATTCAGAAAAGTGAACATAAATAAAATAATGAGCTAGAAGTTGTAAAATTTGTTGTCTTGAGGGAATGAAAATGAGGAAGGGCAAGGGACTACTATTTTTTTAAAAAAGAAAAAAGCCATACAGCTCTTTGACCCTTTGAACTACATGTACTTATAATATACAAAGAACACTGCATTGAGATAAAAGTTAAAATGCATCATTGATTTGAGTATTTTCTGCATGTAATTCATCACGTTGATTTTATTCTGTTGAAATGTTTCCCCACTATTTCTTGATGGCAAATGAAACTAGTGATAGTGAAATACTGTGTTTTATTCATTCAAAACAACAGAATACAGTACATCAAGGAGCATATTTCTATACCCTACAAGAACCAAAAATCCAAGAGTACATACTAATGCTGGAAAAAGTGTTCTAGACAGGTTGACCATATAACTTATTCTAACAGGGATAATAGGACATAAACCAGAATTATCCCAGACATTTATTACCCATACTTCCAAATAGGCCTTTTCTTCCGGCATCTTACAACATAGTTAGTGCTTTGAATCTAGAAAAATATATGTAAACCGACCTTGAGGATTTATAAAATTTCCTTATTCTAGAAGCTGTTTTTTTACCTACTGAATCACTAGAAATAAAGAAGCTTTTTAAAAAATAAACTTGTTTTTAGTTTTCAGGTAAATGTTTTCAGAGTTCAGAGACTTGGCTGGAAGAATTCTAATGAACAGATTAGTGAAAAAATATATTAACTTATACAGAATTCCAAAGGTGAAGGTCAATACTTTCTAGATGTTACATTTTAATAGTAAACTAATGATGATAAAATGATGTTACATGTTTAGATTGTCTTACATTTTTAAAAGATATTTTCTTATCAGTATTGTGAAAAGAAACTTAACTTTGTACTCACAATTTAGCATCTCCAGTTACACTTTATAAACATCTTTATAATATCATCAATCTTGCTGAAAATTCATATAGGCAGTACAAAATACAGTTCATCATTATAAATCAAGGAGAAGTATTTTGGTTACAGTGATCTCTAATTACAATGTGGACTCTCCCAATTTAGAAAATTACTGTTGGCTGGGCTCAGTGGCTCACGTCTGTAATCCCAGCACTTTGGGAGGCCAAGGCGGGTGGATCATGAGGTCAAGAGATCTAGACCATCCTGGCCAGCAGGGTGAAACCCCATCTCTATTAAAAAATACAAAAATTAGCTCGGCGTGGTGGCATGTGCCTGTAGACCCAGCTACTAAGGAGGCTGAGGCAGGAGAAACGCTTGAACCTGGGAGGCGGAGGTTGCAGTGAGCCGAGATGGCGCCACTGCACTCCAGCCTGGCACCTGGTGACAGAGCGAGACTCTGTGTCAAAAAAAAAAAGAAAAGAAAACTACTGTCATAAAGCTGTAATTTTTACTTAATACCGTTCTATGTAAACCAATATAACTTGGATGCTCACAATAAAAGAATGCCTACCAAAAGTATTTTTGTCTTTTAAATTGACAGCCCATATATTTTAAGTTTATAAATATAGTAGTTTAGTAATAAAACTTAAAACACAAATTGGAGTTTTTACTAAAAATTATATCCTCACCTATCTGCCTTTCATTTTAAGCATGATTACAAGTAAATGAGATTTCTATTTTATTTTCTCAACATATTATACATAAAGTTCTTTAAAGTTTGAAGGTCTCACATAATATAGTTAATGCATAGTCATCATGGGTCAATAAGATGTGTTTTTTCCCTGACAAAACTGTGTATTACACAATGATGCTTAACAAATCTACCTACCTTACTATCACAAAGTAAATTCCTTTAATTGGTTACTTTAACATAAATATTAATGGCATTCAAAATGTGTGTATATATATATATATTAAAAACTTAAGAAGCATTTTGCTTCCAAAGCAGCACCTTGCAAAAAATATCTATACTTAAAACATAATTTACTGCAATTCTGATCTTTTATTCTGTGGATCTGTTTTGATCTGTTTTCTTAGTAACAACCAGAATCGTAGGTGCAAAAGCATAGATGGAGAGAAACATAGCAGGGTGAGTTCCAAAACTATCATGAATTAGGGATGATGTCAGAAAGATTGCAATGAAAGTGCTTTGGTAAGTAAAGACGTCCAGAGAAAGACAATGAATGAACGGAATTTCATCAGTATTTACTCCTGAGGGTATAACAGGAGCATCAGAGGAGGTCAGAGAATTTTCGGGAGGACTTAGGATGGCTCCAAATTCCTGAAAAAATCCTGCACTCTGTAGAGGAGGAATATACAGAGAAGAAAGGACAGAGTAAATAGTTCTCACTGACACTGCATAAGAGACCAAAAACACAAAAATACCCAAGGAAAAAGAGACAAGTTCCAAATGTTCTGGAGGCTTTGCAACACTTCAGTGGTTTGCAACAAAAGTCTTCTATGAAGTTCCCAGTGGAAACCACCAGAACAATGGCATCTGACTGCACTGTGCCTTCCACCCCCAGTCATTATGTTTTCTCTTGAAATTGGGTTTATATTTCCCCATGCTACAACTGTAAAAATGTTTTCCTTCTCACATACACCAATCATTGAGAATTTGGTTATCAGAGGTTTCCAGAAAGTAATATTTTGATTGTCTTTACCATTCAGAAAAGGAAATTATTTACCTTTTAATTGATGCTAAGCTTGCTTTACCATGCAAACCAATAAATTCACCCACGAAATTTTTGATTGATCTGACAGTAGAGTGGTTTCTTGTAAACTGCCTTTCAAGTGTGTTACATTAATATATTTGTGGAAATATTTCATGAATCCAGGTATAAAAGGATCTTTAAGCAAACGTAATAAAAATGAGAGTTTACTCTTCTTGCATATACTTAAGTACAACAGGGAAATGGTCATTTTTATTTTTTCACTTCTGAAAATGTGGGTGGGTTTTTTTTTTTGTTAAAAACTCACAAATTTTCTAACTCACAGAAATGTGGGCATTTACCATTTCTGTAATTCACAAGATAATTGCACTATTTGGTATACATAGTGCTTAAGGCTAAAATCGTAAGATAATCACTAGTCAGCTTAAAAGTGTAAATTACATTTTAGAATCTGTCTAGGCAACAGGAGAATTTGGATTTGTTTCATTTAAGATTATCATGAAGTCGACAACAGTGATATTTAAATACAGCCTTCATAATGAATCTTTTCTAGATGGTAGTCTTTAGAAATCTTTAGAGACAAATAATGAATCTTTTAGACATGAATGATCACTATATTTGATAATGACCACTGTGCTTTCAAGGTGACCATGATAGTTTTATTCAGTTTCACAAATGCTTTTCGTTGTTTGCCTATATCCAGAATTTAAACAAGATCAGGTCTGGTGTCTAATTGCTTTGACTGTTGGTGAAGTCATTAGGGCTGTCATTGTCCAAACTGTGAAGCAGAAGTTTCCCTTTGTATTTTTCTATGGTTTGATTCTGTTCTTCTGTTGCCTGTACCCTTCCAATTTCTTTTTTCCCTCTCAAATTTCTACCCTACCATCATATACCACCACTTCCAACTGTCACTTTTTCTATGTGGGTAAAAAAGTGACAGTTAGACGTGGTGTTATTATATTCAAGTTTCACATAATCATTAAAAAAATAATGCCTAAGTGTCTGATCCTTTTGAGAGAACTTACATATTAAAAATAATTCTCAAAAGTAGAAAAAATAAAAAACAATGTCCAAAAGGTTATTTATTATTGGACTATCTACTACATTTGCTCCTAAGGTTAGACCTGGGATGGTGGCAAGAATTCTATACAGAATGGGAGATAAATATATAGGAGAATAGTAAGGGAAGCGATTGCCCGCTCACATTTATCTTCCTCTTGACTATTCATTTATTCTATTGCCGGGTATTTTTCTGGGCTATGCTGACAGAGCAGATTCTACAAGTTTGAGGAGAGATTCCCCACTTCCAGAATCCACCCCCTATTTCACTTTTCACTTAGTTAACCAAAAATGTCTTAGTTAATCACTGCAGTCAACATTTGTTGGTAAACTCCCCAGCTCTGAGACTCTCCATCTCTCTTTTAACCTTGCTCTGAATTTCTCAGTACTGTGCTTTGACCCTTCTCTCCGCTCTAGAAGTAAACCCCTCATTGACTTAAGCCATTCTATCCTTTCTGGTCATGATGCCTATTTGACAATGAAAAAATAACCTTTGCTCTACTAGAGAAGGAAACTCTCTACCAGACAGGAACAAGATGTACAAATTGCCAAGAGTGGGCATCCATCTTGCCAACACAAGAGGAAAGCCTGCATGAGAGTGAGGCCAAGACCAGGGAGATGGTTCCAACACTGTGGAAAGGGATTCAGAAGCCAGTTTATGCCCATCCTTAATTACTTAATTATAGACACGACATTTAAGCCCTGATAAATAGCTCCTGCCCAAAGCTTAATCTCCCCTGGCTCATTGTATTATATGATTCAGTAAGTTTCCTTTTGTGTGTAAACAAGTTAGAGTCAGGTTTTCTGAAACACTTCTGTGAAAAATGTTTTTTAGGTAATATTTTTCCTACCAAATGAACTCAATTCAGTCAACTAGTATCTAAGGTAGACCCTGGGTTGTGGAAAGAAATTGAATAAAGATCCATGCATGAGTACATGAGAGTCATTATTAATGCACTCATGTCAAGAATAAGCTTAAACTCTAGTCTTTGGTCTATGAGAGAAGGTTGGGTAGTTGACATAAATATCCTCTCTTGCATCATCCACGGATTGACTGGTAGACTGATTGGTAGAGATGGGACTTGTAGAGTTGCTGGGTGCCTAGAAACACAAACAGCAGAGAGTGTCAATAATTCACTGCATTTCAACAACTAATGAAGACATTCAAAACATACCTCTTGTTAATGCAGACATGACATGGAACAAATTTCCATTATAATTAATTTGATAAAACATTATCCTCATTGTATTGAACTCTGTTAGAAATCACATTCTTGAGTGAGATACAACAGAAACCTAGTCTAGATTACTACTTACTGTATTGTGCTAAGAATTACCTGTTTCAACTGGGAGAGGGAATTCCCTCTCCCAACGTTAAGCTATTTTGATAAGAACAATATTATGATTTTTATATGGAAATTTTAATATAGCATTTTGCATACTATCAATTAATGTTTGTTGAATGAATGTCTTAAAAAATGTTTTCAAAGTACACAGTGTCTGAACTTTAAAAAATAAGCAACTTAACATGTAAAAATTAACGAAATAAACTGACATTCACTTTCAGGATGATATTGTATAATCATTAATCTTCTCTACTGTAATCAAGTCACTTTGATCACATATGTATGTATGTAACAGAAAATATGCAGGTGTGAAAAAAAGAAAGACAAGGTGAGAAAGAAAAGAGACTAGAGAAAGGTCTTTTGATGAGTAATTTATAATTTTAGATTGTGTTGTTTTTCTTGAGTCAGTCTTGCTCTGTTGCCCAAGCTGAAGGGCAGTGACACGATTTTGGCTCACTGCAACCTCCAGTTCCCAGGTACAAGCAATTCTCTTGCCTCAGCCTCCTGAGTAGCTGGGATTACAGGCATGTACAGTCACGTCTGGCTAATTTTTGTATTTTTAATAGAGACAGAGTTTCACCATGTTGGCCAGGCTGGTCTCGAACTCCTGACTTCAGATGATCCACCTGCCTCAGCCTCCCAAACTATCGGGATTACAGGCATAAGCCACCATGCCCGGCCAGACTTTAGTGTTTTTAAAAAGAAGGCAAAATGAAAATGCAAGTGCCATGCTTACTTATACAGGTTATCTTTTTAAAAAGTGAATGAAATAGTTCCAATGTCTTTTTTTGACAGTCCAAACTACTTTTTCAAAATCCTTCAAAATATTTTTCTACCAAAGCCTGAAAACGTTGGATACCTAATATAGACAGTTGCAAAGCTCCTTTTCATACCCCAAATTCACAACAATAAATGTGACTGGATTGGCATGAGTAAAGTATTAAGGATGAAGAAGGGAATCCCAAAATTGTATATGACAGAGTACCAATTTGTTTGCTGAAGTGGCTGATGAAAACAAAACAAGTTGGCACCAAGAAGCAATCTATGTTTTTTTGCCAAGAAACAAACAAAAATTCTTACAAAAGTAACTACTTAATAAAAAAAAAAAAGTTAAACTGATAAATTTTGAAGGTGTCTGATGAACACATGTTGGATTGTCAGAACATTTTTAGCACTTGGCTTTTGGCCGTGTAGAATTCAATTGCACGTAATTAAAATGAAGAAAAATTTATATACTTTTGGATAGCATTTGAGGAAATTTTTGTCTTAGTTTGGGCTGCTGTCACAAAATATTGTGGACCGCATTGCTTAAACGACAAATACTTATTCCTCACAGCTCTAGAGATTGGGAAATCCAAGATCAAGAAAATATCTTCCTAACTTGAGAAAAAAAAAAAAAAAAAGTCTGGTGAAGGCCTGAGGGTGTGTTTCTTGGTTTGCAGACAACTGTCTTCTCAGTATCCTCACATTGCAAAGAACAGAAAGAGGAAGCAAGCTCTTCTGTTCCTTTTAAGGTGCTAATCCCAATCATGAGGATTGTACCCTCATGATCTAATTACGTCCCCAAGTCTCTCCCTCCTAATATAATCACATTGGGGGTTAGGACTTTAACATATGAATTTTGGGAAGGCACAAATGTTCAATCCATAGAAACGGGGTTTTTTGTTTGTTTGTTTTGTGAAATTTCATAAACAGAATGCTATGTGTTAGAGAGATCTAAAGTATAGTGGGGATAATAAGCATAAAAATACATATCCCTCTTATCTGCAAACCCAGAAGTTTCTAGTCTGTTAGTTAAACAATAAAGGGCAGGAGCAGGGCAGAATAAGGAAGAAACTTTTACAGCTCATCAAACTTCCGCAACCCATAAGGAAATAAAAAAGTTCTTTGGCTGGATAACCTAAGTATACATTAATTAATAACAACTTCAAAGATAATGATAATAATGAGTATCATGCAATATGTTCTTCTACGTGCTTGCTACGTGTCTGGGTCTTGTATGCATTTTAGCCACCACGAAAGCCTTATGACACAAAAATATTATGTCTTCTCCTGGGTTGGCTAGTGTCCTCTGCAAATTCCTCCTCAGAACCTCATAACGTGACCTCATTTGAAAATAGGATCCTTGCAGATGTAATTAGTTAAGCTGAAACAATACTGTGCTGGAGAAGAGTGGGTGTTTAAGTCCAGATGACTGGGGTCTTCATGAGAAAAGAAGGAAGGCAGACACATACACACAGGTGAGAACATCATGTGATGAGAGAGGCAGAGATTAGAGAGATGGATCTACCAGCCAAGGATCGACAGCGCTGCCAGAAGCTGGACAGAAGCATGGGATGGCTTCTCATCCCACAAAGAAACCAGTCCTTCTGACACTGTTTATACTTCAACCCTCTAGAATTGTGGAAAAATAGATTTCTGTTGTTTAAAGTCACCCAGGTTTGGGAATTTGTCACAGCAGCCCTAGAAAAGGAACAAAGATTTAGGCTTCATAGTGTTGATTGTTATTACGTCAGGGTAATTGCTCCTTTATTTATATTCACATAAGAAAACTTAGTTTTAGAGGGCAGTAAAAATAGAATAGTTCAGAAAATAACTTTCTCCGAATAGCTGATATTTAAATTGCAGGCAATTGCATAGTCAGGTTACAAAAAGGACAATAAAATATAAGATTGCTAACTGCAAAAGAGAATGATTCTGCATTTGTAAATTACAAAAGAAAAAAATGACAAGTTCTTTATAAGCTTACCTTCTTCGTTGTATCCCAGGACTCTGTAAATAAATCTCTTCTCTCTCTCCTTCTCCTTCTTCTGGTATGCATATTCAATAAAGGATATAAAGATGATATTTCAGCACTGAACTCTATACCTCACTGCACCCCTAGCCCACACCCACTTTCTAATATAGTAAAGTAGCTTAATGTACATTTATCCAAAATTCTGTTAACCTACACTTTTTTTCCCTGTCTTCTCCAAAGTGCTCCCAGATGATGAGGGCAACTAAATGGATAACTAACCACTGTGCATTAGTAATTAATCTCAGTGACTTTACTAAGAATGATTTATAGTGAGTTACTACATAAATGGCTTATAGCCTTCCCCAAATAACCTCAGATTTAAGACATTTTCCACAATTAAAATTTATTTTAAATGCCAACAGTGTAACTTCTTAAATGACAATAATATAATGAAGCTTTATAAAAATTTCTGGGTGTTATTCTAAATCACTTGTATGGATTGTTTTATTAAATCACTTATATAGATTCTTTTATTAAGATTTCATCAAAACTTTATCTTTAACAGGTTTGGAAACTAAGGTATGAAGAGGAAGAGTAATTTGCCCAAAATCACATGATTAGTTAGTGGTAGTATTGGAATTTAAATCCAATGCTCTCCCTCTTGACTATTAAGCTCTACAACTTCTGAAATCACTTCACTGTAGCTGAACGGACCATCTGCAACCACAGGATTCAATAAACTCTCCATGGTTCCAAAAAAAATTAAAAATTAGTTCAATCATTGTGGAAGACAATGTGGTGATTCCTCAAAGACCTAGAGACAGAAACACCATTCGCCCCACCAATCCCATTACTGGGTATATGCCCAAAGGAATATAAATCATTCTATTATAAGACACACGCATATGTATGTTCATTGCATCACTATTCATGATAGCAAGACATGGAATCAACCTAAATATTCATCAATGATAAACTGGATAAAGAAAATATGATATACATGTACCACAGAATACTATGCAGCCATAAAAAGAAATGAGATCATGTCCTTTGCAGGGACATGGATAGAGCTGGAGGCTATTGTCCTTAGCAAACTAATGCAGGAACAGAAAACCACATGTTCTCACCTATAAGTGGAAGCTAAATGATGAGAACACATGCGCACATAGAAGGGAAAAACACACACTGGTACCTACTGAAGGGCAGAGGATGGAGGGATGAGAGGATCAGAAAAAATAACTATTGGGTACTAGGCTTAATACCTGGGCGATGAAATAATCTGTACAACAAATCCCATGACACATATGTACCTATGTAACTAACCTGCACATCCTGCACATGTATCCCTGAACTTAAAATAAATGTTAAGAAAATAAAAATGAAAAATAAACATCACAGTTAGATTATGTTGACCAGCCATTCCAGTTTGCCTGGGACTAAGGAGTTTCCCAGGATGAGAGATTTCAGTGCTGAAATGGGAAAAACAAAGCTCCCTATTCGTTGTCAATGCCGATGTTCACAATGAATATAAAATAAGTATCTAAGATTTTTCTCCCTAAACATTATTTTGTACACTGAGGTGTACGTCTATAGAACATATTTTGGCACTTTCTCTTTGTTTGTTTGTTTTTGAGACAGAATCTCACTCTTGTCACTCAGGCTGGAATGCAGTGGTGCAATCTCGGCTCACTGCAACCTCCACCTCCCGGGTCCAAGCGATTCTCCTGTGTCAGCCCCCTGAGTAGCTGAGACTGCAGAAGCCTGCCATCACGCCCAGCTAATTTTTGTATTTTTAGTAGAAATGGGGTTTCACCATGTTGGCCAGGCTAGTCTCGAGCTCCTGAACTCAAATGATCCACCCACCTCAGCTTCCCAAAGTAATGGGATTACAGGTGTGTGCCACTGCACCTGGCCTTATTTTGGCTCCTTTCACACTTGCCAATCAGAGGCCCTTTCCCTAGCCATGGTCACTTACTCGTGTTACTGTTGCTATCTCTGCATGAAAACAGCAAACCAGGGGCAGAGAAGCTGCTGCCAGTTCCTCCAACACACAGGCTACAAGGCGCTGAGTAGCCCGTGTGCTGGAGGAATTGGCAGCAGCTTCTCTGCTGAAGAATTCACTTTTGTTCAGGGACACTGTCTGATTTATGTTGGCTTCTATCCAAGTCAATACATCTGATGATGCAGGATTATTTTAAACAGTTGGAAAAACAGAGTTCAGAAGGTCATTGTTGGAGCCCTTGGGCCGTCTTTCAAAGCATTTCCATCTGAAGTAACAACCACAAACTGATACTAGTGACAAGGTAGAAAGAACAATCGCTTTTTCCCTTGTGGTGTGCGTCCGTGATTACAAATTCAAGTCTACTAATCTCCTTTTATCACATTTAACCAAGTGGGACAATATATTCTACCATTCAATTTAGCTATTCATGTAAAAGGGATGCATTTTCATGAAGCAAAATCTATCCTGTCCAACATCTGTGACCCTGTGGAGGTTTGTCGCCACTCGCTGTCTCTTAGTCACACTGCCCGGTTCCTGTGTGCTCCCTCTGCCGTCTCTGCCCTTAGGATGTTTTCCATTGCCAAGGTGAAGCAGTAGAGGAGTCTGTGGTGCCACTAACACCTTGGTTCCTTACTTCCATTTGCTAATTTCTGGTCAGGGAAAGACTTAAGGGCAATCTGTGATGGGGAAAAAGGTAAAATGACCTGATGTCATATTTCAGTTTAATTAGATAATATTTATTGAGTATTCATTACTTGGACAGAATAGTGCTAAGTGCTATCAAATACTAAAAATATGAATAAAACACAAACTCTGCCATTATGAATAGAAAGAATGACAAGCATGAAAGTGATTAAAACACAAAGCAGGATGAGGAGTAGCAGAGAAGTACATGATGATTCCAGATGGTGACATCATGTCTATTTGCAGGGACAGAGAACAGTGCAGAGCTCACAGAGGGGACAGGTGTTTCACACCTTGAATGATACACAGGAATGCAGCCAAATGTGGGGAAACAGCATTTTGGTAGCAAACCAGATGGGGAGAGCCTTGGGTGTGCTGCAGTTTTCACAAAATTTATCAACATCAGGGAGAATACATTAAGGAGAAAGTAGGAATAAAAATTAGGTTTCAGTCAGAATGTAGGGCAACTTCAATGACAGGTTAATGAGTTTTAACATTATTCTGGTAGATAATCAAAGATATTGAACAAGAGGATGACATGCCAACCCAGCTTTCAGAAGAAGAACCAGGGAAACTGGATGGGTTAGAGAAAAAAAAACTATAGCTGAGAGCAGGTTGGAGACATTACCAAAAAAGGGAGCAGTGATGACAGCTGCCAAAGAGCCAGAGGTCAAGGTCAAGGATGAAGAGACAAGATGGAGAGACCTACTGGAAATCCTATTAACAAGGCGCGTGTGTGTGTGTGCGTGTATGTGTGTGAATATGGTGTATTTGGTAATATTACTGAAGGAGAAGAGTACAGATGGACATACTCACTTACCCAGCAAACATACATTGTCTATGATATACCAGACATGCAAAATATAGTCATCAAAACTGTGGTCCCCTCCTCCCTTAAGAAGATAACACTTTAGTTGTAATACACTATAAGGAATAATTTTAACCTGCTATGATTACAGCAAAGATATGCAACAAATACCTACATAAGTGAGTTGATAAGTACAACAGAGCTGCAAGGTGAAGAAATACCTCAATCAAGAATATCCTAGAAAATTCCCAACTGTGCCACAAGACAGTAAAATATTTTTTTTAATTTTCAATTTTTGAAATTGACAGGGTCTTGCTATGTTGCCTAGGATGGACTTGAACTCTTGGGCTCAAGCAATCCTCCAGCCTCAGCCCCCTGAGTAGCTGGAACTTCAGGCACATATATCTGTGACCAGCCAATAAAACACAAAAAAATTTAGTATAAGCCAATGGCTTCCTGCTCTCTCTAGGGCAGCACCCTCCAATTCCTTCTTCTTAGTAATTTTAAGCATCTAGATTGCTTGGTTCTGAGAATATACAACCATTTGAAATTATGTTGTTTGCTTATTAGGATGTGAACTTCATTATCTCTTGTTCACTGCTATGCACAATAAATATTTGATGAATGAATAAATGAAAGGCATTATCACTGTTAAACTTGCTCTTCCCCTTCTCAGAATCTGTATCCATCTCGTGCTGTGTTATCCATGCACACACACACCATCCCCTCACCGACAGCTTTTTCCTCGGAGGAGGAGAAAGCAGGGCAGGATACAGAGCAGAGGCATCAGGCAGAATACAAAAGGGCCGGACCAGCAGCTTCTACTAATTCTTAAATGAACTATTCCAGCTTTCTCTGTAACATTACAGCTATATCTCCTCCTTTGTGTTAGAACAGTACTCTCAAAAATATAAGTGTGAATGCTGAGACAGCTTGACAAATTATTGGGTTATTAATAGAGAACCTCTAACATCAGAATTACTCATGCTGAACAAGATTCAGGATAAGTTGCTCTACTCACCGGCTAAGGAAAATGACAATGATGGTGGTAATTGAGATAACAAACAACAAGAGTAAAACTGTCCCTCCAGCCACATAGGGAATATATTGGTTATCGGTTTTACCTAGGAGAAAAAAAAAATGTAGGAATTAGGAATTCAACAAAAAGCCGTAAAAAGTAAGGCAGGAAAATAAATAAAAGATACATTAAATATTGAGTAACAAAAACAAAGACTCCAACAAAAAAATACAATAAGCTACAGGAAAAAGAGAGTTTTTGCTTTAGAGTCTCCTAAATGTTTCTCACTCGTAATAGATTTATATTTGTTTCTCAATTAAGCGGGGTTCTACACCTTAAGAAAAACAGAAGTATAAAGAGCATGCATTTGCCAAAGACCTCATTCAAATAAGCTGCTGATCATTTATACAAAATCTTTTTTAGAACAAAATAACTATTAAAATAGTAAATAGGCCGGGCGTAGTGGCTCACGCCTGTAATTCCAGCACTTTGGGAGGTTTGGGCGGGTGGTTCATTTGAGACCAGGAGTTCGAGACCAACATGGGCAACATGGTAAACCCCCATCTCTACTAAAAATACAAAAATTATCCCAGCGTGGTGGCACATGCCTGTAATCCCAGCTACACAGTAGGCTGAAGGACAAGATTCATTTGAATCCAGGAGGCAGAGGTTTCAGTGAGCTGAGATCATGCCACTGCACTCTAGCCTGGGCAACAGAGAGAGACTCTGTCTAAAAATAAAAAAAAAATAGTAAATAAACAAAGATGATCTTTTATGCCTGATGTAGTAAATACATTCAACATACAACAGAATATAACTCCGATGTTTATAATTTTTTTTTAATATTTTTGTATTCAATTTGGTAATGATTTAAAAAATCAGAAAAAAAAAAATGTTACTCCAACTCAATGTCTGAAAATTTATCATGGTCCAGTAATCTGAAATCCTCATCCTAAATCTTTCACAATTTATCTGATTGACTCCAGCAAACTCCTTACTGTATATGTGTCGTCTCTTCATTTGTCAACTGATGGCAATGACAGTAGCCCTAATTACGTCAGAAAATTGTGCTGAGACTCTGATGACTCAAATTTCAAAAGAACAATCAACTACCGTTAGAGAAATGTCCCCTCTGGAGTGTGAGCCCAGTTAGGTCAGAGAACATTTTATCCCTTTGTAAAAAAAATTTTTTGTTAATTAAACTTTAAGTTCTGGGATACAGTGCAGGTTTGCTACATAGGTATACATGTGCCATGATGGTTTGCTGCACTCATCAACCCAACATCTACAACAGGTATTTCTCCTAGTGCTATCCCTGCCCTTGGCCCCCACCACCCAATAGGCCACAGTGTGTGCTGTTCACCTCCCTGTGTCCATGTGTTTTCACTGTTCAACTCCCACTTACCAATGATAATATGCAGTGTTTGGTTTTCTGTTCCTGTGTTAGTTTGCTGAGAATGATGTTTCCAGCTTCATCCATGTCCCTGCAAAGGACATGAACTCATCTTTTTTTATGGCTGCATAGTATTCTACAGTGTACATGTGCCACATTTTCTTTATCCAGTCTATAATTGATGGGCATTTGGATTGGTTCCAAGTCTTTGCTATTGTGAAGAGTGCTGCAATAAACATATGTCTGCATGTGTCTTTATAGTAGAATGACTTATAAACCTTTGGGTATATACCCAGTAATGGGATTGCTGGGTCAAATGGCATTTCTGGTTCAAGATCCTTGAGGAATTGCCATACTGTCTTCCACAGTGGATGAACTAACTTACACTCCTACCAACAGTGTAACAGTGTTCCTGTTTCTCCACATTCTCTCCAGCATCTGTTGTTGCCTAACTTTTTAATGATCACCATTCTAACTGGCATGAGATGTTTTCTCATTGTGGTTTTGATTTGCATTTCTCTAATGACTAAGGATGATGAGCTTTTTTTCATATATTTGTTGCCCACATAAATGTCTTCTTTTGAGAAGTGTCTGTTCATATCCTTTGCCCACTTTTTTATGGGGTTGCTTGCTTTTTTCTTGTAAATTTGTTTCAGTTCCTTGTAGATTCTGGATATTAGCCCTTTGTCAGATGGATAGATTTAAAACTTTTATCCCATTCTGTAGGTTGCCTGTTAACTCTGATGATAGTTGCTTTTGCTATGCAGAAGCCCTTTAGTTTAATTAGGTCCCATTTGTCAGTTTTGGCCTTTGTTGCCAGTGCTTTTGGTGTTTTAGTCATGAAGTCTTTGCCCATGCCTATGTCCTGAATGGTAGTGCCTAGGTTTTCTTCTGGAGTTTTTATGGTTTTAGACCTTACATGTAAGTCTTTAATCCATCTTAACTTTTGTTTAAGGTGTAAGAAAGGGGTCCAGTTTCAGTTTTCTGCATATGGCTAGCCAGTTTTCCCAACATCATTTATTAAATAGGGAATCCTTTTCCCATTGCTTGTTTTTGTCAGGTTTGTCAAAGATCAGATGGTTTTAGGTATGTGGCGTTATTTCTGAAGCCTCTGCTTGTTCCACTGGTCTATATATCTGTTTTGGTTATTGTAGCCTTGTAATATAGTTTGAAGTCAGGTAGCAGGATACTTCCAGCTTTGTTCTTTTTGCTTAGGATTGTCTTAGCTATACGGACTCCTTTTTGGTTCCATATGAAATTTAAAATAGTTTTTTTTTAATTCTGTGAAGGAAGTCAATGGTTTCTTAATGGGAATAGCATTGAATCTATAAATTACTTTGGCAGTATCGCTATTTTCATGATATTTATTCTTCCTATCCATGAGCATGGAATATTTCTCCATTTGTTTGTGTCCTCTGTTATTTCCTTAAACAGTGGTTTGTAGTTCTCCTTGAAGAGGTCCTTCACATCCCTTGTGAGTTGTATTCCTAGGTATCTTATTCTCTTTGCAGCAATTGTCAATGGGAGTTCACCCATTATTTGGCTCTCTATTATTGGCATATAGGAATGCTTGTGATTTTTACACACTGATTTTGTATCCTGACACTTTGCTGAAGTTACTTATCAGCTTGTGGAGATTTGGGGCTGAGACAATGGGGTTTTATAAATACACAATCATGTCATCTGCAAGACAGAGACAGTTTCAGACAAGTTGACTTCCTCTCTTCCTATTTGAATATCTTTAATTTTTTCACATGCCTGATTGCCCTGGCCAGAACTTCCAATACCATGTTGAATAGGAGTGGTGAGAGCGGGCATCCTTGTCTTATGCTGGTTTTCAAAGTGAATGCTTGCAGCTTTTGCCCATTCAGTATGATATTGGCTATGGGTTTGTCATAAATAGCACTCATTATTTTAAGATATGTTCCATCAGTATCTAGTTTATTGAGAGCTTTTAGTATAAAGTGATGTTGAATTTTATTGAAGGCCTTGTCTGCATCTATTAATTATGTGGCTTTTTCATTGGTTCTCTTTATGTGATGGATTATGTTTATTGATTTGTGTATGCTGAACAAATCTTGCATCCCAGGGATGAAGCTGACAACTATGGCGGATAAGCTTTTAGATGTGTTGCATTGATTCAGTTTGCTAGTATTTTATTGAGGATTTTCACATTGATGTTCATCAGGGATATTGACCTGAAACTTTGTTTCGTTGTGTTTCTACCAGGTTTTGGTATCAGGATGATGCTGGTCTCATAAAATGACTTAGGGAGAAGTCTCCCTTTTTCTGTTGTTTGGAATAGTTTCAGAAGAAATGGTACCAGCTCCTCTTTGCACCTCAGGTAGAATTCAGCTGTGAATTCGTCTAGTCCTGGGCATTTTTTTTTCTAGTTCATAGGCTATTAATTACTGCCTCAATTTCAGAACTTGTTATTGGTCTATTCAGGGATTCAACTTCTTCCTCGTTTAGTCTTGGGACGGTGTATGTGTCCAGGAATTTATCCATTTTTTCTAGATTTTTTACTTTATTTGCATAGAGGTGTTTACAGTATTCTCTGATGGTAGTTTGTATTTCTGTGTGATCAGTAGTGATCTCCCTTTAATCATTTTTTATTGTAATTATTCTCTCTTTTCTTATTAGTATGGCTAGTGGTCTATCTATTTTGTTAATCTTTTCAAAAAATCAGCTCCTGGATTCACTGATTTTTTGAAGGGTTTTTTGTGCCTCTGTCTCCTTCAGTTCTACTCTGATCTTAGTTATTTCTTATCTTTTGCTAGCTTTTGAATTTTTTGCTCTTGCTTCTCTAGTTCTTTTTTTTTTCCGATTTGTTTATTTTATTGCATTTTCGGTTTTGGGGTACATGTGAAGAACATGCAAAATTGTTGCATAGGTACACACGTGGCAGTATGATTTGCTGCATTCCTTCCCATCACCTACATCTGGCAATTCTCCCCTTGCTATCTCTCCCCAGCTCCCCACCCACACTGTCCCTCCCCTATTTCCCCCCAACTGACCCCAGTGTGTAGTGCTCCCCTCCCTGTGTCCATGTGTTCTCATTGTTCAACACCTGCCTATGAGTGAGAACATGTGGTGTTTGATCTTCTGCTCTTCTGTCAGTTTGCTGAGAATGATGGTTTCCAGGTTCATCCATGTCCCTACAAAGGGCCCAAATTCATCATTTTTGATGGCTGCATAATATTCCATGGTGTATATGTGCCACATTTTCCCTATCCAGTCTATCGTCGATGGTTATTTGGGTTGGTCTCAGGTCTTTGCTATTGTAAACAGTGCTTCAATGAATATTCGTGTGCATGTGTCCTTATAGTAGAACAATTTGTAATCCTTCGGATATATACCCAGTAATGGGATTGCTGGGTCAAATGGAATTTCTATTTCTAGGTCCTTGAGGAATCGCCACACTGTCTTCCACAATGGTTGAACTAATTTACACTCCCACCAACAGTGCAAAAGTGTTCCTATTTCTCCACAACCTCTCCAGCATCTGTTGTCTCCAGACTTTTTTAATGATCGCCATTCTAACTGGCGTGAGATGGTATCTCAGTGTAGTTTTGATTTGCATTTCTCTGATGACCAGTGATGATGAGCATTTTTTCATAAGTTTGTTGGCCTCATGTATGTCTTCTTTTGAGAAGTGTCTGTTCATATCCTTTGCCCACTTTTGAATGGGATTGTTAGTTTTTTTTCTTGTA